TGATTGACTTGACCCATTCCGTTAGCTTAGCACTTGATCGTTTAGTATGTTGCTATTGCTTTCTTCATGACTTATACATGTTCCTATGACTATGAGATTATGTAACTCCCGTTTACCGGAGGAACACTTTGTGTGCTACCAAACGTCACAACGTAACTGGGTGATTATAAAGGTGCTCTACAGGTGTCTCCAAAGGTACTTGTTGAGTTGACATATTTCGAGATTAGGATTTGTCACTCAGATTGTCGGAGAGGTATCTCTGGGCCCTCTAGGTAATGCACATCACTATAAGCCTTGCAGGCAATGAAGCTAATGAGTTACTTACGGGATGATGCATTACGTAACGAGTAAAGAGCCTTGTCGGTAACGAGATTGAACTAGGTATTGAGATACCGACGATCGAATCTCGGGCAAGTAACATACCGATGACAAAGGGAACAATGTATGTTGTTATGCGGTTTAACCGATAAAGATCTTCGTAGAATATGTAGGAGCCAATATGAGCATCCAGGCTCCGCTATTGGTTATTGACCGGAGACGTGTCTCGATCATGTCTACATAGTTCTCGAACCCGTAGGGTCCGCACGCTTAAAGTTAGATGACAGTTATATTATGAGTTTCTGTGTTTTGATGTACCGAAGGTAGTTCAGAGTCTCGGATGTGATTACGGACATGACGAGGAGTCTCGAAATGGTCGAGACATGAAGATTGATATATTGGACGACTATATTCGGACACCGGAATGGTTCCGAGGGTTATCGGATATATACCGGAGTACCGGGGGGTTACTGAAACCCCCCGGAGGTTAATGGGCCTCATGGGCCCAAGTGGTGGAAGAGGAGAGGAGGCCAAGGGGCAGCCGCGCGCCCCACCCTCCAAGTCTGAATTGGACAAGGAGGGGGGCGCCCCCCTTTCCTTTCCCCCTCTCTCTCCTTCCCTCTCCTCTCCTACTCCAACAAGGAAGGGGGGGAGTCCTACTCCTGGTGGGAGTAGGACTCCTCATGGGGCGTGCCAAGGGTGGCCGGCCCCCTCCCCCTCCTCCACTCCTTTATATACGGGGAGGGAGGCACCCCCTAGAAACACAACAATTGATCCTTGAGATCTCTTAGCCGTGTGCGGTGCCCCCCTCCACCATAATCCACCTCGATAATATCATAGTGGTGCTTAGGCGAAGCCATGCGTCGGTAGAACATCATCATCGTCACCACACCGTCGTGCTGACGGAACTCTCCCTCAAAGCTCGGCTGGATCGGACTTCGAGGGACGTCATCGAGCTGAACGTGTGCTGAACTCGGAGGTGCCATGCGTTCGGTACTTGATCTGTCAGATCGAGAAGACGTACGACTACATCAACCGCGTTGTGCTAATGCTTCTGCTTTCGGTCTATGAGGGTACATGGACACACTCTCCCCTCTCGTTGCTATGCATCACCATGATCTTGCGTGTGCGTTGGAATTTTTTTGAAATTACTACGTTACCCAACAGGTACATGCGACGCGCCTCGGCACAATCGGACCAGGGGTGCGGGAGAAGCGGTGCGTCCAAAACCGACAAAAACCACCTGGTCCGTGCGTGACCGCACGATCCCACGCCATCACACGGCGTGGCGTCGGCCGCTCGAGCAGCGCGTCGAGCGCACGCGCACTAGTATGTATATAGGTATAATCATTGGTCATTCCCCTAGCCTACTTTGAGCTTGCTCGGACCTGCATAACCATTTTACGAAAAAAAGCCTTATGTTTTTAAAAAAGCTAAATATGCACAAAAATATGGACTGCCATGAAGAACTACCATTCTACATAGGCGATGAAGTGCACAATATAGTCATTGTTCATCCTCCCCTGCCTACAAAAAAAGGTTAATATGTTTTCAAAAGAAAAAGGTTATATGTTCACTAATCATTCTACGAACTCTAGATATAAACAAACTCGGTCTATGAAGCAATTAGATGCAGAGGAATTAGCTTTGTTACAGTAGGCCAGGTGATGGAAGGCAAGGATGGAGAAACATTATTCAGACTACGAGTAGAACAAAATTCGGTCCTTGCATTTTGAACCGAAACAAAAGGAATACCATTTTGAACATAATGAAAAGGAATACCATGTTGAACAGAAACAAAAGGAATACCATTTTGTGTGATTGTTAAATATGGACTCAAAAGGCATGTCTGCATTTGTTATTCTGGTCCTTGTAGCATTGTTATATGACTTTAGGAGTTTCTACGGCATGTTTTTCAATAGTGTAAGACACACTAGATATGCTACTACAAACCCATAGAATTACGGAGATGCAATGTTTGTTCTTGATGACATAAGTTGGCCTGGCCCTTGATTCTTTCTTTGTCAGTTTTTTTGTTGTTGCAAAGTTTCATGGTCAATTAAATCAGTGGATCCACAAAAACAATTACAATTTTACAAAAGACATGATAGATAACCAAGGGTACAGATATACACAAAAGGGGGAGAAGGAGAGGCTTGTGTATGATCTCAAATGACATCAAGTACTCATATGACATATCACCCACGGCCTGAAAAAGAAACCCGAAGCACCAAAAAGCGCCGCCACCGGCTCCCACCTCCCCTCCCCGTCACCTCACCTCCGCCGGTCGGCTGAGCTGGGCAAAGCCTTGGCATGGGTGGCGGCGACGGGGTGCCACACAACCTCCTCTCTTCCCCGTCTCCCCCTATATCCTCCTTGTAACCTAGCGCAGATCACCGTCGATGGATCTCTGCAGCGTCGTCGTTGTTTTGCCACCATGGGGTGGTCGGCGATCCATTGAGGGTCGTCACCCTGCCTGCCTTGGCCTAGGGGCGTGCCAGCTTGGATGACCCGTTCTGGCCCAGTTTGGGTCTTATGACGGAGATCCTCGACCGTGGCGGTGATCATAGCCAGGGGTGTCACGCGAATGCCATCCTGTGAGGTGGTTGCGGCCAGGGCGCCCGACATCCGTCTCACCCGACCGTGGGATGGGATGGGATGGAATTCATGGATCTGGTTGGCTGACTGTGGTCGTTGTTCATCGCTTCTGGGCTGGTTTTTCCGTTGTTCGGGCCTACTTCCCTCTACCCTGTCCTGGTGGTGTCATGTCGGGGGCATCGATGGGGCTTGGGGTATATGTCCGTCAACAGGCGCTATCCATGATGACCGGAGGTGTTGCTAGGTTTGGGGTTTCTTGGACTCTAGGTGGCGGTTGGTTAGCTCTTCAGCAGGCTCCACACTTTGATGCCAGCTGGCGGCGATGCCAGTGGGTGTCGCGTCCCTCTTGGGGGTGTCACTATGGTCCGTCTGCCAACGCAGGGCTCCGGGTGAAAGCCTTTGACCACTCTTCTGGTCTCGGCAGTGTGTTTCATCATCACCCTCTTGAGGGTGTGTCGTCGTAGAGCCTAGGTTCATCCTAGTTGCATCGCATCCAATCAGCGGCTAGTTTGGTCCTATCTCGAAGCGTCTTTAGCTCCGACATGAGGCGGTCTCGCTTGCCTCCTAATCTTTTACACGAGTCATTGTTAGCACCAATCACGGTCCTCATTGTTAATACAGGATCGACACTCCACACTCCAGGGCGGGAGGCAGGCGCCCTCCCCGGCGATAGCTTGGTTGAGTGGTGCATCTATGCCCGATAATTTCCATAGGAGTCTCGGTTCCTTTCTTCTCGGTAGTCTTGCTCACTTTGTGTTACAGTATGGCTACTCATGTAGTCTTGTTTTTAACTTTGATCTACTTTGCAAGCGGGCATTCTCTTCACTCTGTATCGGTTTGATTGTGTTGCTTTATATATAAAGTGGGGCGAAAGCCTTTTTCAGATATAACCCACGTTTGTTGTAGTGCTGGTAGAGACCGAGGGACGGCAGCGTTGCGGTGATGATTTCACTTAGTAGGAATAATGCCTCACACGTTCGATCCCCACCCGATGGTGCATGTAGCATCATCAGAAGGGTATGGAGGTGTGTCTCCGTCGGATCTCCCGGGATTCGGTCAATGCTATTCTACGATGGACATGTTTGGATGCAATCTTCATTCGTCTTTGATTGTGTGTTTACATATTCAACCCTTCCAATATATGACTCTCTTCATTGACGATGGTTGCCGCTAATCCTGTGAGGGCTTATCAGGACGACTTCTAGATTGTCTATTACTCGCTCTGTTCAATAATGTGTGCGTATATATATTTTTGAAAAGTCAAACTTTAAAAAATTTGACCTAGTTATTAGAGATAATTGTTTATATCTACAATACCAAATACATCTCATAATGAATCTAATGTAAGTTTGGCATTCTAGATGCAAAAAAAATTCTCCGTAAATTTGGTCAAAGTTTGTGATGCTTGACTTTTAAAAAAATCTATATGCACTACATTATGAAACAGCGTGAATAGAATAAAGTTTGTTTGCTCCGATGGGGGAGGGGCAATAGTCATGGATCTGGGTGTAATTTTTGTTACCTCTCGAATGTTATTTGTACTGACATGATTGATTTCTTGAGAGCTAGTAAAAGAAAACGTTTGCATAAGACTGCGTAGCTGTAGCATTTTTACTTAGTGAGTGAAGTGAGGTCAAGTCCAGGCGGCGGATCTGGCATCTCGCCAAAGCAATCCCCTCGCTACCTCGCCGCTGCCACATCTCGCCGCCGCCGCACCTCTCCGCCGACTAAATCACCCATTGAGAGGAGCTGCACTGCCAAGCCCTACCATGAGCGCAAGAGCGGAGATGTCTCCCCGCCGCCGCCGCCGCCGCGCCTCTCCGCCGCCTGCCTCTCTGCCGGACGACGACGACATGCTCCGGGAGATTCTCCTCCGCCTCCCCCCGCGGCCTTCCTCCCTCCCGCGGGCCTCCCTCGTCTCCAAGCGTTGGCGCAGCCTCGTCGCCGATCCCCAATTCCAACGCCGCTTCCGCAATCACCACGGCAAGCCTCCTCTCCTTGGCTTCTTCGTCGAAGACCGTCGCTCCTGTCCGTTTTTTCCAATGCTGGGCCGACCGGATCGCATCCCCCGCGCTCGCTTCTCCATGCCTCCCAACAAGGACGACCGTATCCCCGGCGCTCGCTTCTCCATGTCTCTCAACGGGGACAACCGCATCGTCGACTGCCGCCACGGACTTGTACTTTTCCTCGGCCGCGGCCCGCCGCACCACCTACTTGTGTGGGACCCCGTCGCCCGCGAGCAGCGCCACCTGTTCCTCCCACCAGAGCTGGACCAGTTGAGCTTCTTCAACGCAGCGGTGCTTCGCCCTACCCGTGGCCATTTCCAGGTGGCCCTGATAGCATTTGCAGGAATAACAAGATTTTCCGCATGCCTTTACTCATCGGAGACTGGCATATGGGGCAATATCAACTCACTGGAGCTGGAATCGCATATACTACCTTTGGAAGGAGCCGGTACTTTGATTGGTAATTCCCTATGCTGGTTACTTCGGGTGCTTCCTCACTATGCCATACTTGAGTTTGATCTGGATACACAGAGCCTAGCTGTGGCAGAGCTGCCAGCACTCGAAGGCGACCAAGAATTAAGGATTATACCTGCCGAAGATGGTAGGCTTGGCTTCATCCATGTCTCGCAATTCCATGCCCAATTATGGAAGAGAAAGCCCGATTCTGATGGTTTGGCTGTATGGGTGCTTGATAGAGCTATTGAATTCGAGGAGCTCAGATCAACTTACAAGGGAGACTCTATCACTTTAGTGGGTTTCGCCGAGGAGAGTAATGCAGTCCTTGCACTGACAGTTTCTGGTGTCTTCATGGTCTATCTCCAGTCAGTGGAGTTTAAGAAAATTTCCAACGTGAGGTCCAATTTTACCTATTATCCATTTGCATGTTGCTATGCTGCAGGTAATAGCCAAGCCTTCACTACTTCACAGTGTTATACATAAATTTAATTTTTAGTAATTAGTTGCTGAAATGCCTATCATGTCATGTCCTTGAGTCTGATGATTGAAGTTCAAATCACATCAATTTTTCCTTATGCTGCCTGATGAATTCTTTAAAAGAAAATAGTACGTAAGGTCACTGTTCTTTTTTCTGTTGGTCATATGTGTAAATTGTGTTTCAAATGTAGTATTATGTGCCTATCTGAAGTCTATATCTTTCAGCACCGGATACATAACAGTTGGAAATCGTTGCAATAGTTCTTGTCCCTTGTGGAAGAGCCCTTCTGAAAAAAAAAATTAAAATAGGCCGAACCTATTTTATTTCTTGTTAGGTTTATATTTGGCATGTCTTAATTTGTTCTGCTTGGTTTGACAAGGAATTGAGTCTACCAAAGATGATTTCTAGAATGTACTCTCGCGGGAATTTCGTTATGGTAATATTCAGTACTGCCGCAGTTCTCTTGACAATGTGACACATGACAGTCAAGAATGGAAGAGAACTTAATGGAAGCTGAGATCGAACCAACCGAATGTGTAACTCCATTGACACTTTTTGAAGCTTAAAGCTAGTTACACTCTTTCACTTGGAAGCTGGAACCGATTGAACAAATTGAAGTTCTATTTTATGTTTTATTAAATATTTTCCTGAAGTGAGGAGTCTATTTGCACTAGAGAATAAATAACTCTTTTTATGGCTCATGTTGCTTTTCTAAGATTACATAACCATGCACCTCTCAGTTCACCTAGATATCCCATTGTAATTCTCTCTTCTATCGATGGTTTTCAATCGGAATTGTCATTGGTTCCTGACTTATTATGCTCGTAGGAACTGGCATTCTTGATGGACATGATGGAGATGAAGTGTTGAACAATATGTGAGATGGTTGTTTGGTGAGACATGCTAGTATGATGTGATCACTGAAAAGGTGCTGTAATATTATCTCCTAGATGTGTCCATGGGGATATGATATCTATGCTAGTTTACAATTTGTTGCCGAGCTTTGACTGATACTTTTTTCCTATGCATATTAACTCCTTTCGTAATTTGTACCCACCCACTACTTTGCCTAAGTACTCCCTCTGTAAACTAATATAAGAGCGTTTAGAACACTAAAATAGTGATCTAAATGCTTTTATATTAGTTTACGGAGGGAGTAATTGATAATTAGATATACTAGGACATAAGTAATTCAGAATCCTAGTTAGTACAGCTTCCTTAGCACACACTTCTAAGTATCTCTAGTCAAGTCAGATGTTGCTTTTACTTTATATGAATTCAATTTCTCAATTTGATCACTACTATATCAATAGTTTATATATTATTACATTGACTGGTTCATAAATAAAAATATTTCCAGGTTATATGAATTTATAATTTTATATGGCGATATTATATATTGTTAACTTCTGATGGTAATGAAAATGGTGGTCGAAGGCATAAAGCACTGTTTTGACTTCTAATGCAACTTATGCAAGCCATGCAAAGTTATAAAATGGCATCCATTCTGGGCTGAAAGAAATGTTATTTTATGAGTTGATAAAGTATCTGCCAATACTAGTTCCTTTGTGAGTAGTTCTGCTTGAGCTTATATATAAGAAGTATACCATGATTATAACTAATCAAGCCGAATGTTTTTACTTTATATTGTCTCGCCATTTATTCCCCCAGTATTATTTACATTATATTGTGCATGCCGTAAAGGGGAGCCTTGGCGCAGCAGTAAAGCTGTTGCCTTATGACCATGAGGTCATGGGTTTGAGTCCTGGGAACAGCCTCTTGCAGAAATGCAGGGAAAGGCTGCGTACAAAAGACCCAAAGTGGTCGCACCCTTCCCCGGACCTTGCACAAGCGGGAGCGACATGCACCGGACCGCCCTTTTTGTGCATGCGTGGTATTCTAGATGGTTGCAGTATTTGCCCGCCGTACACTAAGGCACCATATAACTGATTTGATTGTTGTTATGCAGGTATGGCTAAGTTGCAGGAATGGCTTATCGGTATTAGGTTCCTCCATTTTGTATTTTCTGGTGTTGTGGCCAGTGATGGTCCATTCCATCTGAAAATCGGTCCGTTGTGGTATGTACTCCCTCCGTTCGGAATTACTTGACGTAGAAATGGATGTATCTAGACATTTTTTAGTTCTAGATACATCCATTTCTGCGACAAGTAATTTGGAACGGAGGGAGTAGTACTTATCAAGTGTGAAGCACACCTGCAGGAAGCCAGGAACGAACTGGAAACAGCAGAATCTAGATATTTTCAGAGGCTAGTTTCTCACTCTGCCCAGTAGCTAGCGGTGATGGTCACTTTCAAATCTTTCTGTAAGATGGTCTTTGTAGACTGAACCGATATGGTCATTTTCAGATCTTTCTTTCAGAGATTGTTGCAGGGATGTGGAACACTACGATGATACATACTGCTGCATGCTGCTGGTGGCGTGAAACGTACGGAGGGAAGGTGAAAGACTGAAACCAGAAGTTTCACCCTGTACCTTTTCCTTGTGCAAGTGAGTTAGAGCATCTACTCCGCAAAACACCCCTATACGTCTCTCTGTGCGGACCGGTCACGAAATTGCCACCCAACCAGACACATTATACCTAGCCCAAACTTTCGGGCTGTGTTGGATCAGCCCACCCTGACCCCACAAATACCTCGTCCCTATTCGCATGCTAGACCAAACTCCACTCAACTTTCAGACCGCTCTGCTCCGTCCCTCTTCCGCCTCCCCTCCTAGCTCCTCTCTAGTGATCTTCGACCTTCTTCGGCATCATGGGCAGCGAATCCGAGTCCGGCAACTCCGGTTCCGTTGACTGGGACCTTGTCCCCTGTGGGGAGGAGGAGGAGTTAGTCGTTCGGCTGGCTCTTTGCCGGCCCTGGGAGGAAAGCCGAGCTCCACCATCGGAGTCGCTTTGGCAGGAATTCATTGCTATCGTGCAAGTGTGGCTTGGATCCGGCGACACGAGGCGCATGACAGCGACAGATCCGGAGGTGGCTAGCCTTGCAACTTCTGCGGTGGCATCTCGTCCTGACAACGGCCTGCTCCGAATCCAAATGCGCATGGCCAGGGATGCCGAGGCCAAGGCCGGGCATGCCCGCCGTGAGAGGGTGAAGGCACGCCACACTGCGGAGACCGAGTTGCATTGTGTCTCGTCGGACAAGCCCGCGGAGGACCAGGCCACAGAGAAGGCCCATTCCAGGATCCTAGCCCGCGGACACCTACCCTCGCACTAGAGCAAACACAGGCAGTTGTGACTGGCCGGCATGCCCCCCAAAGAGGACGACGGCGATGTCAACACCTACAACTCCAACAGTGAGCAGATCCTCTTCGACCTTATTGCATCTTCGTTCGCTACGTGGACAAAGAGGACAAAGGGAAAGGGAAAGGGCGGCCGTTAGTGAATCTTTTTTATAATAAAATCTGATCATACTAATTTTTGGTACTTCGATGGTATGTACATGCCAACTCCCCTATGCTATATCCTAGTTGATCTATGTGTGTTATTCTATATGAAATATCTGTGTTGTGTTTTACGTTGCATGAGATGTATGGATTTGAAGGTTTGCATATGAGGGGGTGACTCTGGAGGCAGGCAAATGGGGGGTGACCGGTAGCGCTGTCTTGTCCCTGGACGTTTCGGGGATCAAATTGCACAAGTTCGACTATAGACACTCTTTAGGTTGCGTTTCTTCGGCTGGCTGGGAAGAACTGATCGAATTCAAGGTGATCCGGTGGAAAAAAAATGTTGCTTGTGAAGTCAAATGGGGTTTGTTTGTGGAGTACTTTGTGACGTGCTGTATTTGGTGAACAACTGACCGAGCTCAAGGAGCGAGTACTCATGTTACTGACCGGTCATGTCACTCGCGTCCTTTCCTTGGCGCACATCCAGGAATTCTCAATTCTTTGGGAAAAGGTTTCTGAGATCAGTCTCAACACCGGCGTCCGCGACCGCGATACTATGTATTGGAAGCTCAATTTGAGTGGCGAGTACTCTGCCTCTTCGGCCTACATGGCATAATCTGAGGGCCACCTCAGAAGCAATATGACTAGGGCGGTTTGAAAGGTTTGGGCACCATCATTATCCAAGACAAGAGTGTGGACGGTTGACCGACTACAACGGCGGGGTTGGTCAAACTGTGGGCTTTGCCCGCTCTGCAAGCAAGTCAACGAATTGGCGCCCCATCTCCTATTCCCATACAGATTCTCCGAACGCGTTTGGGCGGACGTGGCTTCATGGATCAGCCTCAACAATGGCATCACAACGGCTTGGCGGCACGAGATATCAGTCAAGGAATGGTGGTTCAAGAATGTCCTAGATAGAGGGCGCTCGGGGAAGGCCCTGTCATCCTTGCTCTTACTCATCTTTTGGGAACTTTGGAACGAGCGGAATGCAAGAATTTTTAAAAACAAAGCTGCCACGGCGACAATTGTTTCAAATAAGATCAAAGAGGAGGCCCGTCTTTGGGCGTTTTGATGGTGCTTGTCATTTGTGTAACTAGGTGGTACCCCGCGCATTGCTGTGGGATTTTCTAGATGAGAGCTGGTACAATGGTACATGTTGAAATTTGAAAGCAAACATATACTTGCGTGCTCTGTGCTTGCTATGCCTTGCTTGGCCTTGAGGCTTGCTGTAACATTTTGAGAACTTTTGCTGATATATATTGATGTAATCAATATTTTGGGAGCAATTTCACTGAAATTTTTGGCATAGCCTATCTTTATTTTGGTACCATCTGCACATGTAATAGAAAAATACTATATATTGACAACAATTATAGTACAGTCTACATATTCATCCAATAAAGTGGATAGCAGCCCATATATACTTCACAATTCAGATTTTCATAGTTCCATAAGGTGAATCCATATCTCAACATGCATAGGATCATCATGTAATTACTAATGGAAGTTCGACTGGGTTACAATTTTAGCCACAATATAAATAATTTAGATAGAGGCAATGCAGTTAAGCCCATATATAGTTGCATAAGCTGATCCATATACA